CTTAATTTTGCCTATAGGTCATTTTGCGGACATCCTCAACAACAGCCAAGATTCTATGAATTGCTGCATAAATTGGTCGCCCAGTCCCTCTGTCGGGTGGTAGAGCGTTAGATTGAGAAGAAATGCTCGATAAAGCAAACTAAAACATCATTTTGACAAAAAAGTTAAGCGAAATAAATTATCCGGTAACCAGCCATTTCGTCAATCCAGACACAAACTTTCTTCTGTTTCCTGAAAGCAGAAACTTCTGCTTTTTATAGAAGAGACATCAATAAAGCTTTTTTTGCAATGTTAGCAAAGCTGATGAAAAACGCCGAAATGAATTCCAAAATTATTGGCGTTTGAATGAATGATGCTCTCGGCTCAACTACTTGAATCATCCCAGCCAGAGCAAAGGGAAAAGGAGATAATTTTCGCGGGGACAACTTTTTATGCGAATCCGTTAGGACGGAATGCTGATAGTGTAACCTAATTAGCGGAAATTTAAGTTATTTTAAATTGTTTTCATGTGACTTCGTCCTGTCCACTGCAAGGATTTGTTCTAACATACCTCATTTTATAGTTAAATGGAGACTTTCGCTGTAATTTTAGACCACCTGAAAATATCCGCATCCACTTTGTCTGTAAAGGAATAATGCCGCGACCACTCCCGAAGCATTCCAGTTCTTCTGTTGTCCATGGATGATATGGAGCCTAGGTGATCCCGAGGGACCAGCTCCTGCCACCGCCCGAGTGCTGCAAGCAAGCGTGACTTCGGGGCGAAAGAGGCTCAAGGTATAATGAAGATAAACTTTCTCAGTAGTATTCAGGCTCTCTTTACTGACCAACAATCTGCTAGATTTGTTCTACCGACCACCAACAGTGTGTCGTCTTGACTACCTCTCAAATAGCTAAATTATTTCTTTTCCCATATAAATGATGCATATATCCCCAAATGTTCCGCTCATCAGGCTTGATTTTATTCAAAGTCCTCTTGAATTGAGCAGCTCACTTCCGGACTTGCCTGTCGTAGGCTGAATTTGCCATTTCGCAAATAAAGGGTTTCTGGGCAAACTTTAATAATCTGCCCGACGCCTTGGTATCTGTCCGACCGGATTTCTACGAGAGATGAATAATAGGAAGGACAAGAGTAAACGGAGGAGGATGGTGGAGATGTAGACAAAAAAGGACAAATGAGGAGTACAGGCAAATTAATGGGCAAAATGCTCATCAGAGTTGGTTAGCATATCAAAAGCTCGAAAATGACCAAGCTGTCTAATTAGCGTGTTGTCAAGTCATTTGGGTCTATTGGCCAATTCTACAGCCACCCAGTTTCCCTTCACTTGGCCAGAGATTTAGGCTAATTCATGCTTCTGACGTGTGTCTAATAGCTTGGAGACTAGCGCCGAATCGGGCTGAAGGCAAGTCGAGGCAATTTCGATTGTCTCGTCCTGGATACAAAAGTCGGGCTAGAGGCCTAACAGACCAAGACGGCGACAAGTTGTCACGATAGTGGGACAGATCGCCTAAGTTCGTGGCTATGGCCGTGTAATCAGCCCAAAGGTCACGCGACAGATATCCCATTAAACCAGCTTGTGAGACACGATTTGTGAATCGGATACTCGAAGGACACAAGGGCTCTTAGCCCATCCAAAGGTATCATTTGCATTGTCTCTCTAGGACATCACTTTTTGTCTATTCTCTTGCCCTCATTATACCACCTACAGACCTCTACTCTCTGGTCGGCCTCGGCTCAACACGTTGTTATCAGTTCTCGCCATTAGATTCAGCTAATCAAGACGAGCTACCGATTGTCATGCCTGTCTTGAGTGATCTGCTAAATCGGCTCATCTTCAAGTAGACCTCACTTCAGCTGATCGCCGGACGATGGTCAAGTGGGCACTCGGCTGAGCTTCAATATTAATGAGTCCGCTGGTCTGCTCATAAAAATGATCAAATTAAACGGACCAAAGATAACTGTTGTCTTGAGTGGTCTTCAATGGAAGCATGGGGCTGGTTGTTCCGTAGGACAAGGTAGCTCATCACTACGGTTACGCAATGTCAGATAAATTCGGCTGAGATGACTCGCTTTCTGAGCATAAGAGTAGAAAGTGTGACTTGAATTAGCTCAAAAGTTGAGCTTTCTATGTATGACAAAATATATTATAATCACAACATATTTATCATATATTATAATCATACACGAATAGTAATTAGGTCTCGATGCCTCTCATAAGAGGACATTTATGTGGAAACTTAAATTTCATATGAAGTGCCTGATTAAGAGATTCATGGGCCGGTCTCATCAGAAGGATGTCTCGTGGACTGCGTCAAACTGAAGGTCTTATCAAAGCCAAACGGCTAAAGTACAACGGAATTCAACCATTGCCCTCTGGTGAGATCGACCAATAAATCTCTGAATAATTCAATTTAATACGAAATGAAAGTCTCCACAGCAGTGATAACTCAGAGGCTCCAACAACACCAGGTCTTTTTTCGCACACAAAACACGACGTTTTTAAAGTATTCTTCAAAACTCCACTCAAATTCATATTCCCCTTTAATATAACTTCAACGTACCATAGGGCATTTCAGTCAGACTTGACCGCCATTCCCTCAGCGCCTGGGCTCCTAGGGACTCGGGCCCAGCAGAAACATAGTTAAACAGGTCTCTGAAATGGTCGAGCCCCCTCGGCGCCATTCGGCTTAAGGGCAGGCGGAGCTCCACATAATCAAACGTCAAGTTGGTGTTGCAAAGTAAGCCCCAGTTTTATTTCGTCGTGTGATTCCGCCCAATGAACGTCTTTAGCAAATGGCTCGTACTACAGCCCATAATTATTTTCAGATCGCTTTGGATAGGGGAAGGCATATCAACCAAATTGTTGGATGTGGACAGCTCCAGGGAATATCGTTTAGTAAATATGCGGAGCTGTGCTTGCGTCTGCCCACAAAAATTGAGGGAAAGTCTTGCATTCCGCACATAGGAATGAAATGTGTATTTGGGAAAATCCCTTAATAATTACATGTCGTTTGAAGTGGTGGGTGGACGGGATTCAAAAAGTGAGGCCACCTGACTGTGGATATCTGCAAAAAAGTCATCGAAGCACCGTTCTGCGAATATGATGAAGCTTCTGTCACGTGGCAGATGGTTTCAAGGCACATTAAAGCTACACTTACGAAAAATCACCACTGCGTTAAACCATGGCCTATATTCGTGTATTAGTTAATTTGCCTAACAATAGCCTCAAACTTTGACGACGTCTGTCAAGACGAAAGAGACGCAAATTCGGAGTGAATTGTCCGAGCTAGCAGAAACTTAGATAGGAGAATATATGAAGACCAAGATGCTGTGGTCTCTGTTATGGTCGCAGTCTTCATTCGATTTCTATAATTGGGTTGACCTGGTTGTCGCAACTTGGTTTTGTTGTCAGGGCGGCTATGTAGAACGCACCTAGTCCGAAGTCGTCTGCCATAATAGTTGTCATGATTCCCAGCATCTGACAGTG